GATATCTCAAAGGCTTTTTGAGTTATGCTCTGGACAAAAATTAATTTTGAAAAAAACAAAAGGCAATTTCTCAAAAATCATGCAGGGTATAGTTATCATTCTTGTGAACTGCACTCTTCCACAATAAGATCTATCCACCCATGAAGTTTCAAGTTGATACCTCAAACACTTTTTGAGATATGCTCCGGACAAAAATGTCGGACGGACGGACGAAGACTATTTCTATATCCCCGCCACCTTTTAGCGGGGGATAAAAAGCTTGTTAACACTCTAGTGGCTGCAGTTTTAATCCAAATTTCCTGGAAATTAGTCAGGAAGGTTGTCTCCGGTCAAAAACTAGGTCACAGGAGCTAAAAATAGAAAAATCTTGTTAACACTAATGGCTGCAGTTTTGATCCAAATATTCTGGAAATTTGTCAGGAAGGTTGTTTTGATGATTTGTAGGTCAAGTTTGAATATGGGTCATCTCCGGTCAAAAACTAGTTCACAGGAGCTAAAAATTGAAAAATCTTGTTAACACTCCAGTGGTTGCAGTTTTGATCCAAATATCCTTGAAATTGGTCAGGAAGGTTGTTTAGATGATTTCTTGGTCAAGTTTGAATATGGGTCATCTCCGGTCAAAAGCTAGGTCACATGAGCTCAAATAGAAAAATCTCGTTAACACTCTACTGGCTGCAGTTTTGATTCAAGTATCCTGGAAATTGGTCAGAAAGGTTGTTTTGATGATTTCTAGGTCAAGTTCAAGTATGGATTGTCTCCGGTCAAAACAAGGTCACAGGAGCTAAAAAAAGAAACTTCTTGTTAACACTTAAGTGCCTGCAGTTTTGATCCAAATATTCTGGAAATTTGTCAGGAAGGTTGCTTTGATGATTTCTAGGTCATGTCTTAATATGGGTCGTCTCCGGTCAAAAATTAGGTCACAGGGGCAAAAAATCGAAAAATCTTGTTAACACTCTTGTGGCTGCAGTTTTGATCCAAATATCCTTGAAATTAGTCAGGAAGGTTGTTTTGATGATTTCTATGTCAAGTTTTTATATGGTCATCTCCGGTCAAAAACTAGGTCACAGGAGCTAAAAATAGAAAAATCTTGTGAACACTAGTGGCTGCAGTTTTGCTCCAAATATCCTGGAGATTGGTCAGGAAGGTTGTTTTGATGATTTCTATGTCAACTTTGAAAATGGGTCACCTGGGTTCAAAAGCTAGGTCACACTGCCCAAATATGGAAAATCCTTGTTAACACACTAGAGGTCACATTTGTTACTCCATTGTCATCAAACTTGGTCAGGATGCTTGTCTAAGACATTGCTCGGATGTGGTTGATGGGTCAGGGGAGCGATCTAGGGCCATATTGGCCCTCTTGTTTTACACACCAAGAAGCTTCAAGTAACTTTAAGTTACTTTTTTCTTGGTCAAGTTTATTTATAGATCACCTGCGGTCAAAACCTAGGTCACACTGCCCAAATATGGAAAAACCTTGTTAATTTTCTTATGGTAACATTTTGATCAATTCTCATCAAGGGGCGTCCGTTGCCGAGTGGTTAAGGTCGTTGACTTCAAACCACTTGCCCCTCACCGCTGTTGGTTCGAATCCCGATAGGGACTTTGGATTCTTTCATCCAGCTAGCTTTCGGAAAGTCGGTGGATCTACTCAGGTGCCTGATCGTGCCTGAAATAATGCACGGAAGGGCCCCTGAGGTCTTCCTCCACCAGTAAAGCTGGAACGTCGCCATATGACCTTAATGTGTCGGTGTGACATAAAACTCAAACAAACAAACAATTCTCATCAAACTTGGTCAGGATGCTTGTCTAGTTAATTGCTTGGAGGAATTCGAATATGGGTGTCTCTGATGAAAAACTAGGTCACAGGAGCTTAGAAATCTTGTAAACTAATTTTCTAGTGGCTACTGTTGTTATCCAAATATCCTGGAAATTGGTCTGCAAGTTTGTTTTGATGATTTCTATGTCAACTTTGAAAATGGGTCACCTGGGTTCAAAAGCTAGGTCACACTGCCCAAATATGGAAAATCCTTGTTAACACACTAGAGGTCACATTTGTTACTCCATTGTCATCAAACTTGGTCAGGATGCTTGTCTAAGACATTGCTCGGATGTGGTTGATGGGTCAGGGGAGCGATCTAGGGCCATATTGGCCCTCTTATTTTACACACCAAGAAGCTTCAAGTAACTTTAAGTCTTCTTCGGGGGAGGTGGTATCAATTCCACGAATATGCTTTAAGAAAATGGAATCGTAATAGGATTGGTCAGGACACCTTCCAGCTTTATGCGAGACAATTCTTCAACATGTATAAGGATTATGACTGGACACAGTGTAAAGCGAACGAACTCGGTCATGGTCACACTGAGGTCAAAGGCAAACAACTAATGCATTGAGTTGCCACGTACATTTTAATCAAAGATAATCCTCGAGTCATCATTAGGATAGATAGATTTATTTCAGTACTATGTAATAACACTGTAACATATCCAATACATGATAAAACAGTATAGCATCGATAAGAAATGAACCAACATCAAATACATCATACCTAAGGTAGCACAATACCACATAATCGATCAAACGGAGCCTGCAACATTTTCAATATTGCCGTTTTGGTCGTTCTTAATGTTTATTTTAAATATATATATAATGCTTCAATTAATGTTCAGTACTGACAGTAACTAGAGCTACAATCAGGTTAATGACTTATCAGTTAAACTTATTGAAATACGTCAATGTTTTATCATTTCAATTATCCTAACTTCTTGTTAACCTACCTTTATACGACTCTACCACCGTCTTAGTACAAGTTTGACATCACAGTTTTAATGAACTTTTCTCTTGTGAGTAGCCTGTAGTCTGCTTATGACAGGTGTTTTAATGGTTAATGGTTGATAACATTTACTTTATGTTTTGTGATCGATTGGAGTTTCTGCATTGCTCCGAAACAATGGCATGTTGCTTTGCTTAATTTAAATTTGTAAACATTAACAATAATACCGTTGTAAAAGCAAGTGGGATATTATAAATGTAGTTAACCATGCAAGTAACCATTAAACTTCTGTGGGCAATATACAACCATTATAAAATAATAAAATTTTGCCCAGCGTTGAATTAAATTCTTTAATGTAAGTTTAATTTCTTAATTGCCATATGAACCAAACACTGGCTGGTCTAAAGCATCAGATCACTTATATTTTGATTGTGTTTTTCTTTAATTACCTTATCAACTAAGAAATTTTAGTCTAATCATCACATTTGTATGAAACAAACACGATTTAATCTTGAATAACCAATTCATATTATAAAAACACTTTAATATAAAATACATGTTGTAGATAATATACCGGACACCCACATGAAAAATGATGACTCATGTATAAATGAGTGTTAGCATCTATATAAAAACATTTAACTTATCAGAATTTTGTTAGAACAAATTTATAAAATTTCATAACTGCTTACTTTGATAGCCAATTACTTAGCTCATTTGAAAAAAGATTCCAACTTCCCCCATCTTGTGCTGAAGCAAGTGAATGCATTGTAAAGAAAAGTAGAGAAGTCTTATTATACATTGAGACAATGAGTCAGACGTTAAAGTCTGTGTCATATATCTATGCTCAAAGCTTACTCCTAAATAACTTCAATGTTAGTCAATGCATAGAGATTACTTGTTGAAACGCAAAGCAATTTTATTTTAGCCAAGATGACACCAATTGAGTTCTAAGAAATTTATTTTTAGAAAACCAGGTGAATTTAAGAATGAGTCAGTTTTGATCCAAAACAATGATTTCTTCGAACTTGGAAAAGGTCTACTCAAAATGTCAACACAAATATCAAGGATTGTGGCATTTTTTAAACTCTTTAGATATTTTGAAGATTTTTTAATTTAAAAATCTATATAAAAGCAATTAACAACTGCGGCAGAGTGAATGATCCTGAAGGACACACTCTTTATAAACTTGATTGAAGTACACCAGACAATGCCACATTCTTAATATCTATTAGTAAGCCTTCCACGTTATGAATAAGAGTTAGTGCCTGCTTTGGCCAAAACACAAGAGGGCCACAAGTTGTCCCAATATCATAAAGGATGAAGTGGTTATAAATTGAGACTTTTCCATAGGTTAAAATTTTAAGATGTGCACAAAAATGCATTATTTGAAATTCCAATATACACATGTATACAAGTGTTCACCATAGAATGTATTACTTAGTGAAGCACAATCAGTATAAGTAAAATGTGATCTTAATTGAAACAGTCTTAGTTTTAAGGCAAAATCCTGCGACAGTTTCTTTTGATGTAAATTAAAAAGGTAATTCATTCGAATTAATTCCATGTCATAATTGTTCGATCCTGCAACCTTTAAGTGGATATGGTGCGAATATCTCCTCAAGTTGCATTTAGAGAATGAAAGTGCCAGAACTTACATTTAACAGTCAAGGTTTATGTTTTTATTAAGCAGAAAATTGCTAGACTTAACAACATTTGATTAGGGAATGGAACGTTTTGTAATCTGCAAGTTTTCTTTTTTATTTCAAAACTAACTTTTCTAAAGTGGATGATTGGTTATGGGACAATTTTGGGACTGGCCATGATAAGAAGAGGACCACAAGGTCACATACATGCCAAAGATCTAAGCTCTCGTTATAACAGTTTTGGAGAAGAAGATTTCATTTTTTATGTTATTTTTAGCTTCTGAGACCTTCTTGTGCATTAGACTAAATGGAAACATTTACATAACTTTTGTGGAAGGAAACCTAACCATCATTCTTGTCAAGTTGAGGGGGTGTTGTCAAAAAACAAATTTATTTTAAACAACCATCAAGCCTTGAATCTCACCAGAGCACAGTGATCGGGAAACTGGTAGCTCGAGACTTATAGAACAACATATAGCTAAACAACATAAATCATTATATAATACAATTATACAACCACACTTTAACAGAAACCTACACAAAGTTAACAGTTCTTGACACATATGCTATAAAAAAGAAAGAAAACAATTATTGGATCTTTAATGCTCTAATTATACTCTTTTTATATGCACAATGCAACAACAAGAAATTAAGTTTTTCATTCTACAAGTTTAAGGATAGCTACATTCCCAAGAATTATCTTCTTTAGAATAACTTTCGAAAAAGTTCATTTAATGAACTGATGAATTTAAAAAATTAAACAAAGTACAATAAAATTTATGTCCAATATATTTCCTATGCCCAACCAAATAAAATGTTATATTATAATATTGACATAACTGATGTGGAGCTCGAAGTTTATATACATTTCTATATAAATAGAACAATGAGATAATAATGAACTGTTTATGTTCTCTGGTTAGAAGATCTCTTCTATAGACTATCTCATTAAAACTGTTATCACATTTCAAACTTGGCCGGTGTTGTTATGATAACCTTGCCTCTATCCTCACCTGGATGGGTGTTTTTGGACTCAGTAAAGTGAAATGTCGCAGATTCAATGGTGGATTCTGTAATAAAATCATGTAATTTTTATCAATAGAGACCTTTGACCTACATATCTGGGTCTTCCATGCAACATATTGTCACAATTTTTTACACATATAAAAAAAAATTGCAAAATAATTACAAAATAAAAGTTATTGGCAAGACAAAAAACAGACAGACAGAAGGACAATTAAATAACTTTAACCCTTCAGGGCATAAGAATATTTGTGATTAATGCAATATTCTAACTTGGAACTTCCATATAAATAAGTGCTAAAATTGACTGTCAGCTAAATGCAAACCCCTGCATATAGCAAGCTTGTCATATGTTAGCATTATTTGTAACTGACATTCCTGATACAAACTATATACTGGTATAGTATTTTGTGGATACAATGTACACTGAACTTTTGAACAAAGAGAATGGATAGTCACAGCTAATATCTTGATTTTTTTCTAGATTTTGTTCACCTAAATGAAAGAAATCAAAATACAGTGAACCATAACAACTATAAACAGATTGATCTTTTTTCTATACTCATGTTGTCTTTTTAGTTTTTATTCCGGCATGACTTGACATACAAATAAACAAATTATAAATTTTTTGCACTTTTTGTAGGGTCTTTCTATTTGAAGACCCTAATTTTTTGTAATAAATTTATTACATTTATGTATAAGAGTCCTTTGTTTCTAGTATCATCCGATCTTTAATTAAAAACAGTGTTAGTTGATCAGCTTATACCTAGAATTAAGTTTTTGCTGTATATATTGTAACATAACAAATCAATACCTGTGTTTTTTCACATTTGACAAATCTAATTTTCCTTAACATATAAACAAGAGCAATCTTGGCCTCAACAAGTGCTAGTCTCATTCCAATACAATTTCTCGGCCCTGTACCAAATGGTAAAAACGTGATCTTTTCTGTAGCCCCTTTCTTTCCCTGAGCAAATCTAAAATACAAAACTATGCATCAAGAAATATCATATAATGAAAAAATAAATACCCATGTTGTTAGCTCTTTATGAAGTCCCACGAATACATTCATTTTTGTTTGACTACTTTTATAGATTTACTGTAGTAAGAATATTGATGCTTTACTGATGGAGAAAAGTTTGGATGTTTGATTGATAAAATTCAATAGCTGCTAAATATCTTAAAATATTTAATCATGGCCACTAAAGGTGACTTTAAGTGGGCATCTGCATCATTCAAAGCATAAGCAACACCAAAGTAGAATGATATCCCAATTCTAAACCATAACAGCAAAAATTGAACAGAATGAAGATAGTAAAGATTTTGTAATGATTGTAAGATACAGATACCTGTCAGGTTTAAAAGCCTCTGGTTCGGGGTAATTTTCCTCACTATGATGAACGTTCCACACAGGTATTTGTATTGATGTACCTTTAGGTATTGTTATTCCTCCAACTGTTATCTCTTCATGAGCCTTCCTTGTTAACCTGTCAATACATGGATAAGCATATGATAGTATGGCCTTTTCTTTATGTCCTTTACAGGTGTAGTATAAAAAGGACTCCTATGAGGTTTTTTGACATCTATCGATCTTCCATTAATGTCAAATCCCTCCATGTCTGCCCGCCAAAATCGCAAAAAAACTTAAAATACGTTGTATAAAAAAAGGATAAAATAATGTTAAAAATGTTTGAAGCAGGTATAGACCAGTAACTTCTGTGCAAAATATCAGATCATTTGCTCACTCCTTTTCTCCAAAATAGTTAGTCTATTTGTGAAAAATGACCAAAAGTTGAAAACATAGCAAATTATTATTGCTTTTCACTCATATTGGGCTAAGTATAGCACAAAAATATGAATTTCAATTTATTTCTGAGTTTAATTCTTAATTATCTTTAGCAGATCTTTCTGTTGTAAGTGCCCTGGTTAACTTATGTAAAAAATTTAACTTTCAGGTTTTCAGGTTTTGGACCACAGTGGAGTTCCTTTAATATTAATCTACATAAATCTGAGCGAAGGCAATGTTATTTTACTTAAATCCTTTATCACCATCTCAAATATAGCCTTAAGAAACAATCATAACTTTATACTATTTTTGTTACTCTGCCTACTGGACATGTGTTAGAATAGTTTAGGTCAACACACTTCCGGAGTAATTCAATTTATTTAACCCTGACAACTACTAGTAGTTGTTATAATGTTTAACTACAATGTACATTTTTTTGTATTCCACTAGCACAGAGATATGTTAGCCTTTTATTCTAATGTCTGCTTAAAATTGACATTAAAATCTATAAACCCTACCGTACTAAATATCTTAAATGTACTACTCCATCTTTTAATCTGGACACTCATATTTTTCAAGGAAAATTTCAAAATATTTACTAACAGAATAGCAATTAATGCAGATTATGATCAGGTAACACATGCATGCTGGCTGACTTTGGTCTGCATTGGTTGAGGGAATTCAACAACGGCTGGCACTAGGTAAGTGTTAAATTATGGAAGTAAGTGAATTTATATACATTTCCAAGTTCTATGATGGGCACGTTCAATACAAATATATAACAGGGTAAAATTTTTCACGTCCAATACATGGGTATAACAGAATAACAGTTCTTCATGCTTCATTAGATTTATTTGTAAATTATTATGAATATATCATACATATGTTACCTTGGAACTGGAGGGTAAAATCTGAGGACCTCGTAAATAAACTGATCCATGAACTTTAAATCACTTATACTGTCATAGTCTGGATCATCCTACAATTTATAACAACACTGTCAAATCATTGTCATAGCAACATGTTAACTGTAGTAAAATCGTATATATAGTTGCTTAGAAAAAAACAAGGGCAGGTCTATGGCTGCCTGCATAAAAAATCACTGTGGAGCTTTTATCTCGTATGTTTTTGTATTTCTTTCCAAAAGCTTGTATGTTTTTGTATTCTTTCCGAAAATCAATCAATCTAAAATGAAATGCATAAATTAAAGCAACTGAAAAATGTGTAAAGGCAATACTCTATATTCATATGCAGCAACATGAAAATACAAGTGCCTTATCTTTATTATTATTATAATATTAGTTTTATTAAAGTTAACCTACCTGCCCAATATATTTCTGTATCTCATCATAAAGTTGTGAATCTAGTTCAGGATGAAATGCCAGGATATAAGCTGAGTAACGTAGTAGACTAGCTGTTGTCTCAAACCCAGCAAGAAAGAATACAAACGCCTGACCTTTTATTTCATCATCAGTCAACCCTATATATCAAAATCAATGTTATAACATTACATACATTTTTCATGAGACCATAAATCATCTGGATTTGATAGAAAGATATGTTATAAAATTGTTTTCTTTGTATAGATAAACATATAGGGGAAAACAACCTCACCCTGTAATGGGGATGTTTGTTCAGGAATCAAAATTATTTTAAGAATCTTGGGAGACGGTCACCCGAGAATAATTTGTGTTAAATGTTCAAATGTTTTTTTTTATAAACATATTGAAAAGTGACATGTCAACGACTTTCATGTTTTATGAAAATGGTGGTCTAAATAGAATAGAGGGGTTGATCATATGAGCATAGAAACAAAGATTGGAATTTTTTAAATTCAGTTTTCTAGCTACGAGGGATGTCCGGAAAGTCCATATACTTCTTGATTTTTTATTCTTTAACAATACATACCTTGTTTAACTTTTGTCAGCAAAAGTATACATATCTAGCGAAGACATTTATCAAAAATTACTGAACTGTGACTTACGTTTGTATTCTAACAGTAGTTACATACAACATATATACATCGTCATGGAGCACTTTGACAACGTCAACGGCGTCAAATGAAAGTCACGTTTACCCACTAATCAATTTCTTCCGATTTCAACAGCCATGGTACATGTCTGGCGTAAACTTAATACATGTTATATTCCTTTGCTATTACTCTATGAATTTCATATACTACATTTATTTAAAAATAAAGAAGTCACTGGTTCCCATACAGTGTGTGAGATGACTATCTTTTTCAAAGATTGTTGTAACGCAATCCTCGATATTTCGGCCATGCTACTTTTAGCATCTGGAGTGTTTCTTATATGATATTGTCATCACCACTTCTTAATCTTGTTTGACATTTAAACACAAGTTGTCTTTAACAATATAAGGTTGATTTTGTTTTTAAAGTAAAGATTAAACTTTCAGTTGGTGCCATATTAGCGTTGCTATGAAGATAAATAACATTACGTTGCTCCGTCCTTGAATTTGACGTCTTTTTTGCAACACAAAATTTATGTTACTTCATTGCATAAAACTGTCATTAACAAGCTGTTTATTTGATTTACGGCATCAATATTTCCACTAAATATCATGGAATTGTATCCTTTGATGTCACAAATTTAAAACGAGATTTTGTGTTAAAATTACACTTTCTAGCAACTTATTATTCGAGTAGCAATCGTCACAAAATCAAAGTGCTCCGTGATTCGTTGATCATGTTGCCATGGTGATTGACGCTTTGCGAATATTTCTTTTATCATGTTTTTGAATTTAGAAATATGTAGCAGATAAATACTTTAGCAAAATATTTAATCTTCATATTGATAAAACTGATTATGATAATTTTATAGCCTTGTCTACGAACTTTCCGGACAGCCCTCGTATTTGGTCCTACTTTAGGGGGTGGTACTACGAATTACTAGTGTGCTTTGTAGAATTATGAGTTACTCATTTTAAGAAGTTATATTGATCAAACAGATTTTTTACAAGAGATTTTCAAACATTTTCCTGAAGACATATAGGATCAAAGACAACATATCTTTAAGAAAACTAGAATTTAATTAATTTTGATAAAATGTTCCACAATGTTTCCTATGGAACAATATTTAAATTTATTTGACAAGCAGTCTTTTTTTCCAGTTTTCACTTCTGGTTGGCATAGAAACCTGAGGTCTGTAGGGCATGTTTGCAAAAGGATCACATAAGAAACCCTTCTTTTAAGTTATGGAAGGAGATGTTGTTTAAAGTGAAGTATGGAAGGATAGACACCACATGGTGAGTGATCACAATACCTAAACTTTGAGAAAGCATACATGTAACTTTTTTTTTGATGATCAAGTGGGACATTTTTCTTCAAAAAGAGGGAGATTTTGGAATTTGCATTAAACAAAGAAGGAAGTTCTGACATCAAAATAGGAAGATTTCTTTGATTTGTGAAAATACCCTTATTTTAAGAAAAATCTTTGAAAATATGGCTGCAGAAAGTGGGAGTCTCCGCCCAAAAAGTGGGATTTTCCACATGTATGAGAAAGGAGGAAAGATGTAAGGAGAATAAGGAAGGTCAAATGGGGCAACTTATAATTATCATTGGGATGAGCATATGTAAAATAAAGTAGGGAGTGTGTGACTGTGAATTCAAGTCCTACTTGGTTTACAATTGTGTTTCTCTATCTGTTACCAACAGCAGATTTTAAAGTGATAAATTTAAGTTGCTCAAAGTTCAAATTCAACTTATAAAATGTACATAACATAAATACATTACAATCCACATCATTAAATACTGATTTTATTGTTGCCTAGCAACAATATCTACTAACACTTGTAATAATAAGGTCATACTTTCTAGATTATGTACATGATGACCACTAGAAGCACCATTGGACATTGTAGTCTCATTTTTGATGTACCCCTCTCTTGTATTATCAAAATCTGCATCCATCAACATTTGTATGAAGTCCACTCTGTCCTTTATAATCAAAATTTGCAAAAAATTTACCACTTAAGAAAAGAGAAGCATGTCTGTTTTACACAAGTGAAATACCCCATGGTTTAGAAAATGAAAATATGAGATATCAATGTTTCTCTAATATGAATCATAATGACTTAAAGCTTTGAGTATTTTATCAAAATGTACCAAACAAAACAAATATTTTTCAGTACCATTCACAATAATTGTTGTTTATGTTATTTATTATACTTGATACTATAGTTTTCTTAGTACCATGTCTAAGGCACAAAAATAGAGCCAGATGAGCCTGGTTAAAATCAGTGTAAACATAATGAAATAAGCAAACACAAAATCTGGGCAAGTTTACATATAGGCTCACAGTAGATTTATTTGGCAACTGGTCTAAAAAGCCTTTATACATAACAATATACCATTTGCTATATACATAACAATATACCATTTGCTATATACATAACAATATACCATTTGCTATATACATAACAATATACAATTTGCTATATACATAACAATATACCATTTGCTATATACATAACAATATACCATTTGCTATATACATAACAATATACCATTTGCTATATACATAACAATATACCATTTGCTATATACATAACAATATACCATTTGCTATATACATAACAATATACCATTTGCTATATACATAACAATATACCATTTGCTATATACATAACAATATACCATTTGCTATATACATAACAATATACCATTTTATTTTTCCTTCTTTCATCAATCAAGGCCTGTCCTATATCATTATAAAAGTTGACACATTCTGTAGGCCATGTGGTGATCCCTATCTTATACAGCCATTTTCCTAGAGGTGGTATCATAGCTTCAAATATAAAATAACAAAATACAAATTATATTTATATATTTATACATGTGCAAGGTATATACACAATGTGATGATTTTTTCAAAATAATATCTCAGTCCAAAACCAGAGCTCCTCATGTTGGAGCATTATAATTTACTCTAAACAGGAGTATAAACAGAACAATGTGCAAATTAATTAAAACAAGAGCAATCAGTGATCATGTGTCACCTCGAGATAAGCTATAGCCAATTGCATGTTGTAGCTACTGTGAATCAGGAGACACATCAATCATTAACAGGCCAAAACATGATTTTTCAGGCAACACAAAAATGTTCCAAATACCCCTATCCAAAATTATTAATAATGCATCATCAGCTGAAATAGTGATATTTCTTGAATAGTGTAACTGTCATTTAAAAGATCAAGCTCATTATAATATTTCTATTTAGAAGAATGTTGTGTACAAGTTTGACTAACTGAAAATATTATGGCCAAAGTTTAATTCAGTATGTAGTCTTTCAGAATTTGGAATGACGGAACATTATGGGAACAACTTAGTTTAGAGTTACAGAGCTATTCACCAATATCAATAACTGAAAATCATTAATGTTCTTTTTTTTAAATTTTTCACTCAGATAATCAATGAAAATGCATAATTGCAATCAAGGAAATATACCTGATAGAAATATAGGAATCCTTTTCCACTGGGTGAGCTTAAAGATTTTCTCCAGGTTTCTAACAAATGGATCATCATGTTGTTTCTGGGAATCTATTTCTATACCAAAGGCTGTAGATGCAATAGCATCCATTGTAAAACATACAAACCAACTGTAAAAAATAGAGCATTCATACATTATCACTCATTTATCACTATATAATAACATTCAATGTGACGTAAATGTTTTTAACGCTATGAGCACTGAAGTAAAAAAAGAAACAAGAGCTCCGCTGAGGTGAAGCAATATAAGTAAGTAAATCTTTTATTATAATGACATGTGTACATGTTATAAAAATAACATAAATAACACATTAATATAAAGCCAAACACAATGTGTCTTTCGATCACTTTTAAATTAGAAGTGTTTCAATAGTTCACATAGTTCAACAAAATTTTTAACACATATTTAAAGGAAAGAAATATTGCTTATAACACATATTTATAACTTAGAAGAAATGTCATACAATGTCATTGGTTGTGCACAAACTTTCAAATATATAATATAATGTACTTTGTATTACTGTAAATAGAGTTTCGCCTTTTAAAGTACACCTTTACAAAGTATTTCCTACTTTTCTTGGGGAAATTGTTCATTAAATTGTTCATTAACTTTATAAATTCATTTTTGATTTATTAAGCTCAAGGTTTAAATCACGAAAACAGTCATTTTATATATGGCCATAGAAAGGACACACTAAAAGGAAATGTTTTTCGTCCTCAATTTCTTATAAATCACAGAAGGTACAAAGTCCCTGTTTCAGGTTTGCACGCAATTTTAAAGCAGACAGGTATGATTCCACATCTGAAGTAGAGATCTCTTGTTTTTTTTTGATAAGTTTATTTTAACATATTGGCGAGGGGTGAATTTATCTTTAAAAGAGATATACAGTCGTATTTTGAGACATTTTTGATACTGTTTAACCATGAGTTGAAATAAAGTTCTCTGAATTTTGAATGAGCAGTTTCTATATTGATCATTATTTTCTGCTTGAAATTGTCTAGTTATCCTAGTTTATGTATTATAGTTTTTATTTCTAAATACCAGTTGTTAATGCACCTATCATAATCCAAGTTAAAGGTATGCTTCAATAATCTACAAATTATTGTCAATGGCTCAGATTATGACATTCCCATTAAATGTAAAAGAAAATAAGTATACAGTCTAAATTTTTTCTAGGTAGCAAGTTAACATATTAGTAATAGAAGATAATTGAACATTATGATAAAACATACTAACATGCTAAATATAAACTCAATCATTGAAATCCTTCAAAAGTTTTTCTGCAGAAATCAATAATTTCACATAACAAGAGCACCGCATAGTGGGGACCACACTCAACTTTTTCTTATTTCTAATGTCAAATACATCAGACGGAGAATATTGTCAAGGTCATATACAGGTTTTAGTAAGTTATAGCCAATCATAGCCAAAAACTGTGAAATTACATTAATTTGACCTTAAAGGTCAAGGTTATTTATAAGTCAAGGTCAAATTGAGTGACTTTAAGTCTGATCTTCATTGACACATTGTCCTTAGGGTAATTCTGCTCAAATATGAAGACAATCCATTTAATAAATAACAAAGTTATAGCCAATTATAGCAAAATAGGTTGTTGTGGCCAAGTATAAAGTCAATTCATTCAGAAATAAAAAAATAATGGTGATTGTTAAAGTTTCAGGTCATCAACAGCAATGGAAATGACAACATGACTGTAGCAATACAGACATCATTATTATTTCTCTTCATAAAACTATCAAATTAATCAATTTTAACAAGTTGCAACAATCTTGAACCAATACAATACCCTATCTGCATTTCATACCTACTGCCTCACCGTCTTAATTCTAGTAGGTAAGTAAAGTCTTACCTTCTAACAGTCACATCTTTTCCAATCTCTTTTTCTAATTTATTGATGCAAGTTTCAGCACATTTGTTGATAATGGGCACAAGCTGAGGAGAAAAAAATACTAAAACCAGTAAATAAATGTATGTAAGAGGATTTATGAAATCAGGCAATCTGTTCATTTATCTGTCTATCATCTGTTTCCTTTACAAACATAATTTTGTATACATTTCTAATTTTGAAGCACTCCAATATTTCAGTAAGACTTTTTGGCATGAAGAGTAACTGCAGAGATACCTGACATCTGAATTCTGTTATGCTGATAAGATTTTAGTTTAAATCACAGTTACAGTGTTAAAAACATTCAAGATCTTTTCATCATTTAAGTTTGAGTAACTGGGGTCATTCTTACCAGAGTGGTCATGCACACTGACAGGGAAACTCTTGCTCATCAAATAGTTTAAATACAGAGACATAGAACATAATAAAATGATGCTATGTCCCTAAGCTTACAGAGGGTGAGTGACTAAGTGTCTCTATATGCATTCTTGTAAGTGAAATAATTATGCCTTGAGGATTGGAAGAATTGGAAATCATGGAGGTACAAGTAAATGAATAATTTATAAGTTAACTAAACCATTCAGTTATAGGCTTGTACACTGTAAATTACTTCATTTATCAAGAAAAAATTTAACACTGATACATTTTTTAGCTTTCCTGCACTGAAGGTGGGTGTAATGATGTTTCTAGTTTTCTTCCATGTTTGTCCTTTCATGAAGAATAGTCCATCTAACATCAACTTCGGGAGGTTACCATTGTGCTGAAAAATAATGCTTATATTTTAGTGCACTTAAAAAAATAAATATTTTGACCCGGGCTTTTATTTGAACAAACTTGGTAGACACTCACTAGAAGATGTTACATGCCAAATATCTAAGCTCTAGCTCTTTGGGTTTTTCAGAAGAAGATATTTTCTAGCTCTTTGGGTTTTTCAGAAGAAGAAATTTTAAGTTTTTTCTATTGGTTGCCATGGCAACCAGAGTTCTGCATGGAATTAAATTCTTTGAACAATTTTCAAAGGTGACCACCAAAGGAACATTCCTGTGACGTTTGGATTAAATTGGCTTAGTGGTTTATGAGGAGATGTCATTTAAAGTAAAAGTTTACGGACGCCGGACGGCCAGACGAAAAGCGATCACAAAAGCTCACCCTGTCACTTTGTGACAGGTGAGCTAAAACCAGTGATTTAACATCTTCAAATAAAGACTAAATACAGAATATATGGTGAAGTATGTAACTGTTATGTTACATACTGGTCTGGTTATACAGGTATGACTGTAAATGTTATGCTACCAACTGGACTATATACACAGGTATAGCTATAATATTAACTTACTGGTCTATCTGTAAAGTTTTGGAAGTCTTTGATTAGTACTGCCTTGATTATATCAGGATCTGTTACAGCTATAACTGGATTATACCCATTGAAATATCTGCCATGATAAAATATAATTAAAATTATTTAAAATACACTTTGCATAATTATAAAAGCTTTTAATCAATTTCTATAATATAATAATGTTATCATTAATTATAAATTTATATTAAAAGATTGGGAGGGGGAACAACACATCAAAACACCATTTAATTTCTTATTCTTGAAAAATTAATAATTGATAGATCAAAAAGATGCTAAAATATGTAACACTATGTTAAAACAGACTTCCAGTAAATACATACATTCATGAAGAAGTGCAATAGTTCTAAATAGCATTAAAATTGTGGTCATATTACACACTTGTGCCATTGTTATTTTTTCATAAAACTATTGTAAACATGTATATAGTTGTCTACAAAGTAACAATTACTCATTATAAAACCACAGAATATGACATTGTTTCAGAAATTCTGCTGAATTTCACATCATTTGATTAATGTATTATTAACTCAATATCTCATTGCGTAGTACAATTAGTTTGACTAGTGAAAAGGCTACACAAAATGCATAAACATAAACAAGAGCTGTCGGAAGGACAGCATGCTCGACTATTCTAAGTGCTTGATAGTAAAAGAGCCTTGATACTGTTAAATTTTTCAAGTTCACAAAAGGGCTATTTTTTTTTATAAATTCATGTTATAGGCCTTAGAGAGAGTCTAATTATACAGTATTGGCTTGACTATTTGGAAGGTAATGTCACAAGGGTGTTTTATTGAGTATAATAATACTAATTACCTATGAATACATAAATTTGACAGAAAAGGTACAATAGCTTGTTATTAAGATGTTTTATCAAGTAAATCACTGCTTTATTATTATGAATGCATAAAATTGTCCCAAAAAAAGGCACAAACCCTTCAGTAGTTATTGAGATAACAGCTTACAAGCAAAACTTTACCATGAATTTCTAAGTTGAAAAAGGGGAGAAAAATCAGCCTAAATGAAAGATAGAATTATGGATCTTTGTCAGTGACCTACAATTATGACCCTAAATGCATATGTGAAGTTTTAAATAAATATCTTTAATATTTATTGAGATATGTAAAACTTGCATGTAAACATTAACCAAGACACTAAGTAGAAAAGGGGATATGAATCAGCCTTAATGCAAGACAGAGTTATGGAACTTGGTCAGTGACATACAATTATGACCCTCCAATTTATAATGACCCTAAGTGCATGTGTAAAGTTTCAAGTAAATATCTTTGAAGACCTTTAACCAAAATTTCTAAGTTTCAAAGGGGCAAATAATTCTGCAAATATTGCAGGCAGAGTTATGCAATTTTGCAAACTGATGTACATTGCTACTATAAAAAAGGTATTTTAAATTTCAATTGAATATCTCAAGCAATAATTGAGATATTTGACTTTACAAAAAAACTTTAACCAAAATTTCTAAGTTCCAAAGGGGCATAATTCTGTCAATATTGTAGGCAGAGTTATCCAACTTGTCAATCCGATGTACCTTGTTACTATAAATAAGTATTGTAAGTTTCAATTGAATATCTCAAGCAATAATTGAGATATTTGACTTTACAAAAAACTTTAACCAAAATTTCTAAGTTAAAAAGGGGCATAATTCTGTCAATATTGTAGGCAGAGTTATCCAACTTGTCAATCTGATGTACCTTGTTACTATAAATAAGTATTGTAAGTTTCAATTGAATATCTCAAGCAATAATTGAGATATTTGACTTTACAAAAAACTTTAACCAAAATTTCTAAGTTAAAAAGGGGCATAATTCTGTCAATATTGTAGGCAGAGTTATCCAACTTGTCAATCTGATGTACATTGTTACTATAAATAAGTATTGTAAGTTTCAATTGAATATCTCAAGCAATAATTGAGATATTTGACTTTACAAAAAACTTTAACCAAAATTTCTAAGTTAAAAAGGGGCATAATTCTGTCAATATTGTAGGCAGAGTTATCCAACTTGTCAATCTGATGTACTTTGTTACTATAAATAAGTATTGTAAGTTTGAATTGAATATCTCAAGTAATAATTGAGATATTTGAATTTACAAAAAACTTTAACCAACGCAGACGCCGACGCGGACGCTGACGCCGACGCCGACGCCGGGGCGACTACAATAGCTCTCATATTCTTCGAATAGTCGAGCTAATAAAACTATCAAAAACAGTTTTCGCCATATTCATGTTTGAAAGTTGAATTCTGCTTAAGCTGGTTATGGACGGTAACTTGCGCTTATCACTTCTGTCAATGAACAGAACTGGTTCATTCGGGCCAAGCATGCAAAATATTAAAATTTGACACTAAATTGGTCATTGTTTTGAGATTCAAGTTTTAACATCAATTGACAGTAAAAAAATCATGCAATCTTTATATATACTGGTTAACCTCCATCTTTGTTTATGTTGTCCTGACCTAGGTGCCTGATTTTAGAACATATTCTGGTACATAAAAAGTGAAATCTCCTTAATTCATATTCACAACTAAACAAGTGCATGAATACTGCAGGGTAATTAAAAACTTACCCGAATACTTTGCCATATTTCTTTGACCATTCTTCATCTGTGACATGAATTCCCTTGTAACATAGGAAAAATACAGAATATCAAACAAAATCTGTCAGACACAATGCACATGATCAACCATTCTCAGTGTTTATTAGTAAAACAAAATCAATGCAGGACTTTTTAAGATATTAACTTACAATAATTATCCTGAAAACATTTTTTTTTTCAAAAATAAATTAAAAATCATATTTTTGTGCCCGTTTGAGTGAAAAGTGTTGCAATGTTAGAAAAATTATTCTGGAAAAACAGAGTCAGCGAATGATATTAAATTTTGCAGACAAATTATTAAGTCTAGACATATATCAAAAGAAACATATATCTGGAAATATTAAAAAAAACAAACAAACCTAAGTGGTCAGTCCCTTTAAAGACGTTTTTGGGAGTTCAACATGCTAAGTTTAAAGAAATTCTATTGAACAGTTTTAATTTTGCCTATATGTCCATATGAAAACTCTTGAAAACGTCTTTAATATTGTAACATTATCAGTAAATATGTTACCAGTATATGACGGGATCAATTGAATGAAATCTGAGCATGCAAACTCTTTATTACGATATTTAAATACCTTGTACAAGTCATGCATAAACAAGTGATAGTTCAAATCCAGTACATAAATACACTAGAATAAAATGATACCCTGTAAACTTGTTCATGAAGATTTCCGATGATAGGCCATGGTGTCGGACCTGGTATACCATATCTCTTCAATATTGTATAGTGTCGGTACAGAAAACTGAAAAATAAATACAATGATATACAGTCATGTATATATCTAAAGTTATAGGCTGTTACAAGATCTAGGCTGTCTTAACTTGATTAACTCAATTTACATGTATATTTTTTCAATCTATACAATTTTCACTGTAAATGTTTCATTTATAAAAATAATTATCATAAATAAGATAAACAAAGATAAATACTTACATTGCCAACAGTGTAATAAGAAGAGCAAACAATTGCCATGACAAACTATAAACATCAAACAAATCCATCCTCTTTAAACTATAAAATAAAACTTGTTGATGTTAATGGTTCATGTAAACTTGTGCTTGTGAATCATTCATGGATTTAAAATCCAATTTTGGTTTGACCTAAAAATAAGCTGTGCCCATTTATACACTTGTAACATAATATTTAAAGCTTATCTATTCAACATGATTTTTTTCTTAAACTTTATGTGTTGTACTAGAATGAGTGTTATATTTGCATGTTATATTTGCGTCCTACTTTTTAGTGAAATATTTAAGGTGATATGACCTAATTTTCAACAAAACAATGTCAACTTGATAGGTTTATTGTACTTCAATATTTATGAAAATTTAGCATGTGTTACCTACTTATTATTTATTTAAGATGACAGGGTAAATGGGAAATTCTTCCAGCTTTTATCAGCGCTGCATCAGTAATCAGCCATTGATGAGGAAAAAGGCAGGGCAATATCTTAAAAGCCTGAATACAAACTAATTTGAGTAATCAAAAGTAATCTTTCAATTAAAGAAGAACTTGTCTGAAACATGTTTTATCTTAATTATTCTTTGATACTCAATCAGAGCCCCTGGGCAAGAACAATTTTGAATCTCCAAAGAGTTGATTGGAGACCATCTATTAGAAGGTTATTTATTACATAAATCAAAGGTCTGTAAGATAAATATAATTGATATGACTTGAAAAGACTAAAGGACAAACAATTTTCAGTACGACTGTTTATCAGTGTCAATATCTTGCATAATGAATGCAAAAAAAAGAAAAGAACAAGAGGGCCATGATGGCCCTGAGTCGCTTATCAGAAACAACTGCTTTTCAATGTTGGAAATTACCCATTGTCAATATTTTCTTATATTAGATTTGAGCATAGAATATGTTTAAACAATAATTTGAAGAAACGCCATGACCTGGGGCATTTAAGCTTTAGCTTAAACAGGGCCAATAAAATTAATATGAGCAAACTTGATAAAAGACTACCTAATAATGCTATAAAGTTTGGTGATCATTTATCAATTATTTCACTAGGAAATGATGTTCAAAAGTTTTTATTTATTTTTGGCTATAGTGGCCCCTTAAAAAGGCTAATCAAATTAAGATGAGCAAACTTGATAGAAGAGTACCTAAGAATGCTACAGAAAAAGTTTGGTGATCATCCATCAATTAGCTCTGTAGAAATAGATGTTTAAAGGTATTTCTATTTTTAGCTTTAGTGACCCCTAAAAGGGGCCAATCAAATTACGGTAATATGAGAAAACTTGATAAAATACTTCCCAAGAATGCTACAGACAAAGTTTGGTGATCATCCATTAAATTAGTTCTGTAGAAAAAGTGGTTGAAAGGTTTTTCTATTTTTAGCCATAGAGACCCCTAAAAGGGGCCAATCAAATTAATATGAGCAAACTTGATATAAGACTACCCAAGAATGCTACAGACAAAGTTTTGTGATCATCCATCCATTAGTTCTGTAGAAGAAGAGGTTTAAAGGTTTTTCTATTTTTAGCCAAAGAGACCCCTAAAAGGGGCTAACCAAATTAATATGAAGAAACTTGATGAAAGACTACCCAAGAATGCTTTAGACAAAGTTTGGTGATCATTCATCCATTAGTTCTGTAGAAGAAGATGTTTAAAGGTTTTTCTATTTTTAGCTCTGTTGATCCCTTAAAGGGGCCAATTGAAATGACATGAGCAAATTCAAGTGTGACTGTCACAAGGATGCTACAGACCAAATTTGAAGTAAATCTGCCCAGCAGTTCCAGAGAAGAAGACGATTGTTGACACATGACGACAGACGCCGGAGCATCCCCCCTTGATACTAATAGCTCACCCTGAACCTTTGGTTCTGGTGAGCTAATAAAGATTAATAATACATGAAAAATATTTAAAGTGCACGATTAATACCCCATCTGTTTACAGAAGGACAGAAACATCTCTGCATAGAAACAGCCAAAACATTGCTTAAAATGTCACCGTCAATGGTTATGAGACATGGGTAAATTTTTATGAGCCAAGGCAAGATATAGGGTACCAAACACGCAAAAAGGCCATGTGTAACCAAGCAATTCCATGAGTGTCAGAAAGGTCTTGTATGTCATTATCTTTGCCAACCAAGGTTCTGCTATACAAATTGCTGTGCTGTGAATGGCAAGGTTTACAGAGGGACTGTTTTTAAAAAACTGTGGAAATACTTCTACAAAAGAAGGCCAGGGATGGGTCTGCATGGTGTCCGACTGTTGTATGACAATGCTTCTTGCCCCATGATGGCCATTATACATGTTCCTCACATTCTTGAAAGCAGAAAAAGTTGTTGAGCTTCCTGACACCCTCAATTTTCACCAGACCTTGGCCCTGTGATTTTTTCTTTTACACACTGAAAAAGTACCTTGATGGAAAGAAATATTGGTCAGCCAAATTCCAGTGTCTCTAAGGTAAACCTTAACACGATCAAAATAATAACAAAATAAGACTTAAATGTATTTTCGTACAAGACTTAGGGGCAGGGCCAATATTGAACCAAGGGGCATGATTAATACCAGTTTTGTAGAGGCCAACAAAGCATTGCTGCTTATTAAAACTAGAAATTGTCACAAGTGCCGAATACTCCCAACACGTGTTTGTCAGAAAACATGCTTTTTAGTTAATAATTTTGCACATATTGAGAATGCAGTAGTTTGTAGATTTCTTTTCAAACGTTTTATTGAATTATTTGTCCTACATAAACAAGATGAATTAAAGTTTGGATTTGAAGTTTTCACGACTTCTTTTCAGGGTAATACGTTCTTTCTCCCTCAGATTTCTGTACTCTACTCAGCGAGATCTATATACCTACATAGTTTCATGTTGATAACTTTCATAGTTCTCAAGTTATGTCCTGGACAAAGTTCAAGGTGAAAAATGAACAAAAGGCAATAACTCCAAAATTAGGGTAGTGAGGCTGCACTTCTACTCAGTGATATCTATCTACCTACAAAGTTTCAAGTTGATTCCTTTTATATTTTGGTAATTTTGTTATAGAAACTTGCCATAAATGGGTACATGGAAGTGTTCAATTATGGAAAAAAGAAAAATAATGAAGACTTTGTGATAAATAGTTTTCAAGATAATGAGATATTTAAGGCCCCTGTGACCTAGAACTTTGAACTAGTGACCCAAAATCAATAGGGGTCATCTAATAGGTATTACCAATCAATATTAGAAATATGAAGACTTTGTGATAAATAGTTTTCAAGATAATAAGCGGAAACCAAACTAACATTCAAGAACCCTGTGAACTTTACCTTTGACCTACTCACCCCAAAATCAATAGGTTCGCTTACTTGTGATATAAAATCTTCAAGATAATATGCTGAAACCATTATGACACTTAAGGCCCCTGTGACCTTGACCTTTGATCTAGTGACCCCAAAAGCAATACAGATCATCTGTTGGTTATGACCCATTACTTTGTGAAATATGAAGACCTGTGATTATTATCTTTCAAGATAATGAGCTAAAACCATTCCCTGTGACTTTGACCTAGTGACCCCAAAATCATTAGGGGTCATCTACTAGTTATGACCAATCAATATGTGAAATATTAGATCTTGTGATAAATAGTAACCAAGAAAATAAGCAGAAATCATATTACTTTGCAAGGCCCCTGTGACCTTGACCTTTGACCTAGTGACCCCAAAATCAATAGGGGTCATCTACTAATTTTGACCAATCAATATGTGAAATATGAAGACTTTGCGATGAACTGTAACCAAGATAATGAGCAGACACCATTCTGACATTTAAGGTCCCTGTGACCTTTGACCTTGTGACCCCAAAATCAATAGGGGTCATCTACTAGTTATGACCAATCACTATGTGAAATATGAAGACTTTGTGATAAATGGTAACCAAGATAATAAGCGGAAATCATATTACTATTCAAGGACCCTGTGATCTTGACCTTTAACCTAATGACCCCAAAATCAATAGGGGTCATCTACCACTTATGAGCAATCAATATGTGAAATATGAAGACTGTGATTAATACTTTTAAAGATAATCAGCGGAAACCATTCTGACATTTAAGGCCCCTGTGACCTTGATCTTTGACCTAGTGACCCCAAAATCAATAGGGGTTAACTATTAGTTATGGCCCATAACTATGTGAAATATGAAGACTACGATGAATACTTTTCAATTTAATCAGCAGAAACCATTTTGACATTTAAGGCCCATGCGACCTTGACCTTTGAGCTAGTGACCCCAAGAGCAATAGGGGTCATCTACTAGTTATGACCAATCACTATGGTAAATATGAAGACTTTGTAATGAATACTTTTCAAGATAATCAGCGGAAACCATTTTCACATTTAAGGCCCCTGTGACCTTGACCTTTGACTTAGTGACCCCAAAATCAATAGGGGTCATCTTTTAGTTATGGCCAATCACTATGTGAAATATGAAGACTTTGTGATGAATACTTTTCAAGATAATCAGCGGAAACAATTTTGAACTTTAAGGCCCCTGTGACCTTTGACCTAGCGACCCCAAAATCAATAGGGGTCATCTACTCTTTATGGTTAATCACTATGAGAAATATGAAGACTTTGCGACAAATAGTTTTCAAGATAATCAGCGGAAACCATGTGGTCTACCGACGGACAGACTGACGGACCGACAGACAGACAGACCGACATAAGCAAAACAATATACCCCATCTTCTTCGAAGGGGGGCATAAAAATGAACAAAGGGCAATAACTCCAAAATTTTGGATGAGAGGGTTATATTTCTTATTCACTGCAATTGTACTCCGTAAGATTGTATACCTTTAGAGTTTTAAGTTGATACCTTTTGTAGCTGGACAAAGTTCAAAGTGTAAAAAATGAAGAAAGGGCAATAACTCCAAAATTACCAAAGGTGGAGTTATGGTTCTTTTATGGTGCATTTCTACTCAATGATATCTATCTACCTACAAAGTTTCTTGTTAACACCCCTTATGGTTTAGAGTTAAGTCTCGGACAAAGTTCAGTGTAAAAATAAACAAAGGGCAATAACTCCAAAAATAAGGCAAGGCAGAGCTACGGTTCTTTTGCATTACATTTCTATTCAATGAGATCTACCGACCTACAAAGTTTCTTGTTAATACCCCTTGTCATTTTAGAGTGACAA